TAGCTGCTCACCATACAACCTTTCAGTTTATCCCAGCAACAAGTTCCCATCAGAGTATTCGTTGTAGGTTTTGGTCTCGAGATTTAAATTAAATTGATGACTTCTGCATATCTCAGGCTTTAGACAGGAATGGAGTAACTATCAAGTTATGCCCCAACAGAGTGCTGTATTGAATGCTGTTTTCTCCAGTCAATAACATTACTTTGAAATGCTGGTTGTTTTCCAGCACTGGTTACACTACCCTCTACTGTGATATGACTGTAAAAATGTTTGTCATAAGCAATCAAGGTCTTGTTTTGGAGGTTTTTGTAAATACTGGACCTCTGGTTTGTGTATTCATTAAGGGGACAGTAATCCTTTTGTTGACAAGTTTAGGCTACCTGTCAAATAAATAAAATCTCCATCAAAGATTTAATCTTTTCGAGTAACATCCTTTGTAAAATCTATTGGTCTATTTTACTGCTGGTCGCAAAAAAGGTTTGTTGCATTTTGAAATGGGAATTCAGACTATAATGCGAAATTCTATTGTAGAAAGCAAAAAGATTGCTATATTTAATGATCTATATAAAAAACACTCGTCCCACCTCCCCCCAAGTAGAAAAAGCACACAATACTATGTTGTGTGGTATTGAGCTATGTCACAGATTCAATATGTGTGCTACGCTGAGTTAGCTGGTAGACTGGCCGAGCAATAGAATTGGCCCCGGTATGCCTAGGCTATCAAGGTATCATTGTTGATGACAGAATGGTTCATCGGCAGGATTTGGAAGGGCAAACCAGTCACTGGGGGTAGGGAATCAAAACCTCCTGTTAACCCTGCACGTCAAAACCTGATGAGTAGGGTGTTCCTAGCTAAACAAGCAGCGGGGAAGCTTGCCAGACAGCAATATCAATAGCAGCTATGCAGTTTTAGCTGGTTAGACTCCAGCTCTATCCAAACGCACACTTTGGGGTCCCCAAGCCTTGGCTCTTGCCAACCTGCACCTAATACTTTCCGAAATTAGTTAAGTAGGAAGCGTCCCTCCAGGGAGAGAGCGCGCATTCCATTCCCAAATCTATCTCTGGAATTTCCATGTGCATGGGATTCCCAAGTTGGTTTGGATACTCCTTAGTATGGTGATGGGTTTCCGCATGCATCAGGTCACCCGGCTGACAAAAAAAAAATTGCCCTCCTTCTGATTGAATTGCCATAGGCTGGTGTGATGTATTTAAGAGCGGTCCATGTTTGCTTGACTCAAATTCTTTAGTAAGAATCCAGTAAAGAACTATTGCATTTTTGACCTGCATCTAAATTGTAATACCCCTATGCCAGAGCTGGATCCTGTCAAGGAGTATTCTTGATGAATAACAAAGACTAAAATTACAATAGATTTATTAATATAAAATGTCCTAGTGGTTTGGCACATTGGTAGATCGAAGTGTAGTGACCACTAAATGGAAGGACATGACTTGGTGACTGTGACTCCCTAGTTGTAAGTGTCTGAACTCAAGGACACCGATAGAATAGTGTATCAGCCACTCTCACAACATGTAGCAAATACATCAACTGCATCATTGGCAGAGGCCTGGGAAATCCATGGTGCAGCAAGACCTAAATTGGGAAAGAAAAATAACTAGCAAATACATTTCAAATATTCAATCGGAGCGCTTTCAAAGAATCTCAAACAACATGGACTTTGATATTGCTGTAGAAGCCTCAACCACATTTCACCAACCTCACTACAAAGAGAAATAAATTTTTGCATGATTATAACCCAATTCTCGAAAACCTAGGAAAGGTTCAATAGAGTCCAGTTGTGTAGTAGTTAACAATCTCGCAAACGAGAGGACCTGGGTTCGATTCTCGGGCAGGGCGAAAACTGCGACAAGTTTCCTTACTCCACAGTCTCTGTTTACCTAGCAGTAGGAACCCAGTTGTTAGTTGATTAATAATTCGCTTTCCAGGATTAATAATCCCTCAATCCATGACTCTTTGTGGGACACTACTGTGTGCAATTGGCTGCCACTTGATAAGGCGCTATATCAAAGACAAGCATTATTATTAATGAGTCAAATGGCCCTTCTTCTGTGCTGTAAATTTCTATGCATTTATGGAAACCCTAGCAAGGTGTGGAGCTGAGGATCACAAGCTAATCTCTCACTCAGAAGTTTGCAAGCTCAAGGAACCTACCTTGGTCAGGTCAGTTCCCAATAAGGTTTAGTAGATGAGAGCATATTACAAGTGAGGCATTCTACATCAGTGGAAGGAAACTCCCTTTCTTGAACACCACATCTCATCAACTGATGTCGAAGAGCATTAAAGATTATCAAGAGTACGTGATTTTGCATTTTTTTTAGGATGGAGAATAATGTGTTGGTGACCTGCTTGTATAGAATGGAAATGGAGAGGGGAGGAATGAATCTAAGCTAAAATGTGTGTTTTTTTTAAGTCTCCACAAAGCACGCTATTTTCAAGTAAAAATGACAAGTATCATTTACGTCAAACTAATCCAGTTGTCTAAAATACCCCACCCTCATCTATATGTTTTAAGGATTTGCATTACTCTGATATAATACTTTGATGGTCCAATATTAATTTATTAATTAAATTACATATTTAATTAGGTGTGCCGTGTTATGCAATAATGCACACCTATCAGCCAATCACATTTCAGGAAATCAACCATGGCATTATATAATGAATGCTTAGATATGGCAGATACATTGACATAGATCAGAATAAAATATTATATTTGTTATACATCACTATAACCTTTTACATCTCTTAGTCCATCAAGCTGATATCACTACTTTAGCCGCTAAGGTAAAAGTACCATTAGCATCCAACCGTGAATCTCACACTATTCAGGATGGTCTGATAAATAATTCTGTGCTACATTTAACCACATTTAGCAAGTTGGATCAGTGCCAGACTATAGCAAGGCCTGCAGGATTCTGATGCGGCCTCACATATTGTAGGTAGAGCTGAAGCATACAGACTGTAAGTGCACTCATCTAATGTTACCAGAACCCATCTATTCACAGTCAGATACATCTATAATTTGGACTGTTCACCACTCTGTTATCTGTATGTGGAGATATCCAGAAGAATTGGAATATTTTTGGAACTACAATACTTTTGAGTGCTATCATGAACCAGCTGACATGGAGAAGGAATTAGATCTTTATAACAAACAAAGGCAGGGGCTACACCCTTAGAAACTTGGGACTTATTGCAGCACAAAAGGCAAAAACAATGTGCCAACTGCATGGGCTGGTCCTGGATACCAATCATGCCACTCACAACCACTGTGTTCGGTTACAGTGGGCCATGTAAGCCAGGCATGATTCAATAGAACCTCCACCACTGCAACACAGAGAAAACATGTCACCTCTGTCCACCCTCAAGTGGAAGATTAATGGGGTAGTATCAGTGCCTCTGGCTGAAAGTACACCCAAACCAAAGACATTTGGCAGATGCACATGTCAGACAGGGATTCACAGAACTCATCTGGCAGAGCCATGCTCCTGAAATGTCCATCAGAGAAGCTATTTCATGCCATGGACCTGTGCCCTTGTGGAATGCTTCACTAGTTGAGTGCCTCACATGACTAATGATCATCTGAAAGAACTAGAGGCATTCAAGACAGCAGTACATAGAGACTATATGAATGCAACAGCAACCTGACTGCCTTTTCCTCACAAAGGTTCCAAGGCAGGCTCAGTTTTTACCCTGCTTGCTTTGTACCTCCAGTTGAAGGCTAATTTAATATAGAATGAAACATACAGTCTGTGTGCCTATTCTCTGCCCCCAAAACCTGAAACTAATGTTTTCAATGGTCAGGTTTGCACTTTATATGTTCCTTTCATTGCAACTATATGAAATTTAATGCAAATGTAACAGTCCTGTGACAGTTCTACCACCAAATTGCAACCCTACAGGGAGATGAAGTAGCATAGCATAGCTCTTTATTACAATTTCTCAGTCATGGACACGGTGCTATATGAAAAGCTGGACAGGAGCATCCATTGTCATTATAGAAGGCCTTTCTAGACCTTGCTAATAATGTGAAGGTTTCTAACCACTTTTATGTTACTTTTACCACAGTGACTACAGTAGATATCATTGCTTGAATAATTCAAACTAATGCACCACAGAGTTGCAGTTGTTCAGAGCCAATATTCAGAGAGGCTTTTAAATACGTTTTTTGCACAAAGATCTAAAATACCACAAGAATCTTCAGCATTCCCTCTAAGACTATGGAAAAGTCACACACTTCTCAGTCCAAAACAAAAACATTTTTTTCAGTAAAACTATTTTAAGAATTATTTTGTAATAATTAAGAAACAAGATTTGTTTTGTTTTTTAAAAAAAATTGCGTCCACTATTCAGCTTTTTTGTAGTTTCTTGATTATTCAGTAACTGTAACACTTAAAAATGAATTCTGGTCCTGATAACATATTACTATGAATACAGGCCCAAAGATTTTACTACCAAAATCCATTTCTAAAACAGCAGTCTTTTGGTAATAAATTATACAACAGCAACAGTAGAAGATGTCTTGCATTAAGAGATGCTAAATAAGCCAGATACCCAGTATTATCATAGAATTGTGAAGCCATGTCTGATGGAACTGGAGATGAAAGAGACAAAGTAAAATCTGAAGACCCAACTTTATCTTTAATCCTCGGGGGAGGGGAAGGAGGGGAGGGGGGAAGCCATGAAACAAGCAGTCAGACGAGTGAATACTTAAACGTAATGAGTGGTGTTCATATTGTTACAGTAATATGGGCACAAAAGAGATTGTCACTTTCAGAACAAAGGGGTTACTGGAATCCTTTTATATCCATGCACCTTTACATTAACTCACATCAACTTACCACAGATTCATAATGGCCATTAGGCATTTTTTACACTTACAAAGCCTAAAGCTTCCAAAATGCCTATCTGGCCTGTACATATTTCATTAAAAATAAACTCTATATAATAAATAAATATATAAAATAAATATAATGTTGCCTTTGGAATTTCTATAAATAAATTTAACTTTTTTTTACTAAGAGGTCTTTGCTTAAAGCCCTATGGGGTAGTACCATTGAACTGGTAGATGAATTGTCTTTTTTTTTTGCTTTTTTTTAAATCTTTTTTTTAAAAGTAGGATTGCGTCCTCCATGCCATTATTAATGCAGTGTGGCTTGAGCATGTCACCAGCCAGAATCCCGATGAATCAAAGTATGGCAGCTATGCTGATACACAATGAAATAGAACGGATCAAAAATTTAAAGCGTGTCCCATCTTTGAGCATGCATCAGGCCAGCCGCCTCCTCAGCATTTCATTATATTCCTCCCTCTCACACATTTTTCTCAATCAAGCAAGTGGCACAGGCTCACCTCTAGGAGGACAGACTGTAAGTGCAGAACAAAATCAGATCAGCGTGTTCCATCCAAGCCTCCATACACAATGCATGCGACAAAGTTTGGCAACAGTAGAGCTGAAGTGATGACACAGCTAATCGTTTAGAACCCACCACGAGAACCCATTATAGTGGTTGCTTTTCAGTGGTCCAAACTTAAGGATTGTCTTCATCAACTTTGGCTTAAAACATCCTTATATAATTCAGGTACTTTATCAGGGTCCACTGGTCTAGGTAAAAAATGTGTAAATTTTTGATGCCGTTTAGTCCTAGTCCCTTCCCTTGGGGTTCCATCTTTGTTCAATGCGACAAAGTACCGTCTTCCAGTGTCCGCATGCTTATATAGATTCGATGAGTAGGTATTGTACCAGTTTTCCTCAAATTGTTCCCGGAATACACACTCTGCAGTCAATTTCTCCTGTAAAACAGTAGAATCAAAACATCATTATTGATACCGAGATTTATTTTTGTTCATGCAAGCTCTTGTTTCATCTTTGCTGCTCCACACATCCAATACTTATGAATGGATAGGTTAAGACACAGTGTTAGGTCAATTACATATCATTACACCTATTAGGCTATATAAATTCAACAAATCATAAAGGAAACGGCACCCAGACTTCTGGCAGTACCACTCTTGAAATTAGATACAGGGAGGTACCAGATGACAAATACAACCTACATTTGTATTGCAGCTTTCACATAAAAATGTATCAAATTATGCAGTTGACAGAATTTAGATTAATTGGAGATTTCTACTGCTTGTCCAGCTAGGACCATCCTAACCTTGGCTTTGGTTTGCAGGGTTAATTGGAGCAGTACAAGAAAAATCCAAGCCCAGTGAGTTCTACTAACAAACCAGGAACCACTGAGACAACCACAAAGGATCAACTTGATTTCAATATTCCATTACCATGACAACTCAGCCCCAATAAGGTAGATTAATTAGAAATAAAGTGAATATTTTTTATGGAGACAACTGTGGCAGCTAATTTCCACCAGAAAATCCCACAAACAACAATGAATAACCAATTCATTAAATTTCTTGAGTTGAATTTGATACAACTCCAGGTCACTTCACTCCTGCCCCAAAGTGCTGGACCACTGCTCTCTTCAGGCTCTCTTTCAATTAGTCCTTCCAATGCCCCTTCTAAACCGTTAATAAAACAGACACTCTCTAGTCTTAAGGCTTTGAGGGCATTGACTCTCTTGAAAACTTACATAAAAATAGATTACACATCCATACTCAAGCCAATACTCTCTAAGGCACATCTGGAGCTCGGTTTTACTGCATATGTATCATAATATATTTTTTATCACAATGCAAATTATTGTATTTATTTTACTCCCTACTGTTTGATTGAGAGCGTTTCTTTTGTTACGCACCATAAAAAATACAGCAATGGCTGGCTTGTATTTTGTTTGGGATTTTCTGCTCACCATCACTCTTTGAGACTAAGATGGGGAAACCACCCACTCAATATTGTGAGCGTGAATCTTCATCCTACACATAATTACGTTTTGAGGCACATTAATGTGTCTGTGTTTGCCTACAAGATTTCCACTGCACTTTACAGTAAATGCTGTCAAGCACTTTTAAGACATTGTCCTGACATGAAACGGGTGCTATATCAAATGCAACCTATTATTATGATTATTATTATTACTATAAGGTGCTATAAAGATGGAAATTCAGTGGAGCAGGATGCTAAAGCTTCAAGTTTAGAATCAATTACATTCCACTGAGTTTGATAAATACAGTTTGTGGAAAAGAGCATCAGGGAGGCATTTATATAATCCTTTCATTTGATATAGAGCCTTATCACGTCATTGAGACGTCTCAAAGTACTTCATAGTATATACTGTAAAGTAGATTCACTGTGTATTTTGTGAGCAAAATATGGCAGTCAATTGTGGAATTGAGGAATATGAAAAATATAATGTGTTTTTCCATGGATACCAGACAACTGCAACGGTATTGTGCATTCCTACGTGCACCCAACAGCAAGCTCAGCTTTACATGTCACGCAGCCGACACACCCAAAATCTGCCCAAGCCTTGAATGCAAGTTCACAGAAAGCCAGCAACCTCGCAAATGTTTCCATCGGTTGCCAGCCGAGCCAACGCTAGATACTGGGAAGGTTTCTGAGCCTGCAGGCTATGTGCAAGAAACCAGCACTTCCAGTATGTATTCAGGTCGACAGTTGCACCATGTTAGGCCAGAGTATGTAAAGAGCATTAGAAATATTTTTATAGTATTAGAAATATTATCCTTGCTCCTCCCTACCTCCGAACCCCCTACCAACTTAACGCTCCTTCCACTCAGGAGGCTCCAGCCTGCTTCACGTCCCCCACCTTGCCCGCCCCACAGTTGGAGGGCGGGCTTTCAGCCACTCTGCCCCCACCCTCTGGAACTCCATCCCACGGTCCCTCCGCCTCACCTCCTCCCTTGCCTCCTTCAAGAACTGTCTCAAGACCTTCCTCTTCGACCGTGCCCTCGGTCACCATCCTACCCTTACCCTCCCTATCCTCCACCCCACTTGATCCCAACCACCAGCTCGGGTGCAGATCCCTGACTGTCTAGTACTTTGGGACGTCCTCCTGACGTGAAAGGCGCTATACAAATGTTTGCTGTTGTTGTGAACTTCCTTAACCAAGGATGCTCTTCCAGCACTATCTACAATACTGGTCAGAAAGACTGATCTTTCTGATACCACTTACCTCCAACTTTTCTCTCTATTACAAGCTTACTTATTTCTCTCTGTTATTAATACTGTTTTAACTTATTTGTACCTCCTAGGCTCCGGAAATGCTACTCTCTACGACTTGCCTCCTTTATGCTTCCTCGCTGCAGTTAAAATCAAGTGCTGCATTCAGAAATTAGTGTCAGATCAATCATCTGGTTGGGAAGTGACAGGAAGAACTTGCACAGTATGGATTACTGCTGGTGTCTCTATGGGGTTCGATGTTGAGAAGATCCCCTGAATAGGATTCTGAGGAAATCTCTTCTTCCAACAGCAAAGGTCAGTTTGAAACAGTGCAGAACTACACAAGACAATATTTGACCCAATAAAGAAAACAAGATGTGATCTTTATCATTTACTGCAAGGAAATAAATGTGGGTCAAGGCACATTTTGCTGCAGTGTAATACTTTTAGAAAAGTGATGCAGTTCCTGCAGTAGGTTGTCCTTGATGAATTCACCTTTGAGATGCAGCTGCACATGTAATTTGTCTTATGACTAATACCTTTGCTCTGTTGCTGCAGTAGATGTGCACACGTACTGTTCCATCACTGCGCTTCCTGTCTCAGCTCTTCATGTTGAAGAGCTGGCAGAACATCAGAGGCCCAAAATAACTTAGCCTTAGGTTCATTGTCAGACAATTTAAGATTGTGCAGAATTTTTGGAAAATTCTCCCATTCAGCCTTCATTTAGAAACCTTTTTCTCCCACAGTTCATTTTAAATTTAGCCTGGAGGTCAATTTACAGATAATAATAATAATGCTTGCATTTGATATAGTAATGCCTTATCACATTGTTGACACAATGCATCAAAATGCTTCACAGGAGCTACTGCAGAGTGCAGTGACTGAATTTGTAGATAAATACTCATTCTTTACTTCGGAGCACTTGTTTATTTCTATTTTTAATCACTGAACATAATTTTTATATATATTTTTATGTTTTCATTATAAGGAAAACACCCATTCTCAGGCACATAACGCAAAGCAGAATAGGGCAAGAGGACAGGGGGAGATTACATCTACAGTAAATAACGATATATTGCAATCAATGTACGTTTTACAAATGACAGACAGTATTTCAAAAATAGTTGTCGTTATGTAACCCTCTGGCTGTAGCCATATTAATTAAGAAATAAGAGCACATTCCAAATCCCATTTATACTGTGTTTGCTGAGCTCAGCTCAGGCAAACAGTTGAGCACTGCATTTGGCCTCTGTGCACCTGGATGAACAAGGCAGGAAGGGGGTGGAAACCAACCAGGGTTCAAAACCCTCCGATCATTCTCCTGAGGCTCCTGCTGGAGGTTACACGTTGGCAAATGTCAGGTGAGGACATGATCAGGCTTGACCATGATGTCCCTGTGCAGTCAAGTCACCTGCTAACAGACCCCATCAAGGCGCACAAATGACTCATGTGCACTTTGGTGAGCCAATGCGATGCAGTGAGCCTGGCTCTCGTGCTAGCGTTTCCTAGTAGAAGGAAAATAGACTCAAATATTAAATACTTTCAGGAGATGGGCAGGTGAGGAGAATTTCTACATTTTAGAGGAGAAAGGTTGTCAGATATAAAGGGGAAGTGGGACAAATCCATGGAGGGTGGGGACAGGCTTGGTTGTCTGGACCTGAATGCTGAGGTCTCATATGCACCATTTTCCAATAAGATTAATAAGGAAACTGGATGTGCACCACTCCAATTAACAGGAACTCCATTCTGACAAGGTCTACTTTTGGCTTGTGCGATGTACTTACGGTTGCCAAAAGGAGTTCCCAGTCGGTTCCACATTAAAAGAATCCTGTTATAACTAGGTACATATTGGACCCCATTTTTACAAAAGAAAAGAAATTATGAATTGAGTCAAGTTACAATAAAAGTAGCTCTTGGACAATTTATTAATTTGTACCCTTCACAAATGTCTCTGGCTATCTCAACAGCTCCCCAAAGAGAAATGTTCCTGATTAGCGAATGGTAATTTTTTATACATACACACGCACACACTTTAATTGTAAAATAGGGGTCAAGTGCTATGTGCTGTGCTTGCAGAGCAACAGGAAACATGAAACTAATTTAAATCAAGTCTCTGTATGCTTTGTAAGGAACGGGAGAACGTGACACAAGTAGCACAGAAGAAAGTCTCACTTCAAATATACATCTTGTTTTTTATGGAAACAAAGTATGCTGGAATCCACCATTGGAAGAAAATCTGTCGGGCAGCCACCAGCATGAAAGCCTTTCTTTCCTGTCCGCACGCAGCTTCAATGCCTATTAGCAGGAATGGTGCAAGCAAAAGTCAAGTGAAAATGTTAAACACTTGTTTTAATTGCCCCATTAGAAAAGTAAGACAATTGCTGAAGTGGAAAGCCGCGGGAGATCAGACAGCAATCGGTCAACTAATCAGTCTCTGTGAGGCTTTCCTGTGGAGCGGTTCACTTGCAACCCAAGAATTGGAACCGATACTCAGATTGCTTGGACGTTCCAACACTCCATGCTGTCAGTTGTGTCAAGAAGCCTGCAATAGTTATTTAAGATCGTGTGTTAAAATCAAATTGAGGTTGATGTGTGGCTGAAAAAAATATTTCTTGCCTTGCCAATTTTTCTCCCTCCCTCTCCTAAAACCCGTCACTCACACAATGATATTGCATCCATGGATGCCAGCAGCCATCTGGTACGTTGCACA